ATTAAAAGATATCATAGAAAAAATATTTGCTTGTAAAAATATATTTTCTGTTTTTATAAAAATTTACATCAATAATTCTATTCGTTGAACAACTCTGCAGCAAAATTGTTGTTAAAATTATTTCCTTTAACTAATTTCCAATGTTGAAAGGAAAATAAAAACGTACATGGTAGCATTCTAAAATTTCCCTTGTCCGATTTTATTATCGAATCCTCCTCTACATCCTTAAAGATGTAATCAATATTAAAGGTATCCAAGTGTAATTTTTCTAACGAAATTCGGCAACATCCATCGTCAGGTTTTCTTCGATAAAGTGAATACACAATATCATTACACAAAACTGATTCCATAGAGTCATAGCTTTGTGTCGTAATTACTTTTGAATTAACCACGTTTAATGAGAAACCCTTTAGCTTCGTTTCGATTAAATTTAAACCTAAAAACCCTCGAAATATATTTATTTGTTTAGATATTAGTAAAAGCTTTAAAGCTGTTCTGATGAAGTTTTTATAGTTCAAGTTTTGGTAAATATTTATATTTACCTTTAAAGTATAAGCTGTCTTTATGGGAGAATATCGTAAATATATCAAAAAAAGATGGAATTGATTCTTCTCCATTTATATTTATTTGTATCCACTGCGATGTGTCATTGTTAAAAAAGTAACCACATTTATTATTCACATTTAACAAGAACAGTTTATTTTTAAAAGCACAACATTTAATTTGTCTTCCTGGACAGGGAAGCATTATCACCTTGCTCCATAAATCTTAAAATTTAATTTGTAATTTATTATTTTATTTTGTGTTATTATAAAAAGTCTAACCAACCAGTTTTATAATTATACCAGAGCATGTTTTCCTGTATAATTCTGTAATTTCCAGCCCCTCCTATAATGTATAAAAATTCACCTACTAGACACGATTCGAAATGTCTTCTTACTTGAGGGATCCTGCAAAAATATGTCTCTTAAAGTTATTTTGTACTACTACCAGTGCTAAATTTTACACTGATTTATGTTGCCATTTTTCTTTTACGTTATCGTAGACCCAAAAGCTACGGTTCCAATCTCCTCTACCGATTTTATACTCGCCCCCAAATAGAAAAATAAACTCTTTATAAGACAACATTTTAAAACCATCCAATTTATCGCATTTACCTTTATCTACATCTAGGAGCTTTTTAAACTTATTGGAATTAATATCTACAAAGAATACACAAATTATTTTCAGAAAATGTCAATTACATAAAATTTAAAATCTGTTTTTTCGTGCTTTATTTAAAACTACTTACCGAAGTATACAATTACATGAGATGTTGATTCTTTATTAAGGATTTTATAATATCGTTTACGTTTGAACTGATCTGAACAGACAAAACTATAGTCAGATTAGTTTTTAAATTTTGTCGTGTACATTAAAGGCTATAGACAGGTAAATATGTACTGCCTATAGCTGTAACATACCCGTCTATATCCATTTACTGAATTTAAAATAGCAAAGCATACTTACCATGATATATCACAGCTAATTCTTTATCTGGGGACATTACTTTCAGTTTCTTATTTGGTAAGTCATCACTAGCATTTTGTGCAAGAAAACAGGGAACTTTTTGTTGAAATCTGTCAACACTGTTTAGCAGATGTGCAACAATATTTCTTAATTCACTCAGTAAATATCGTTCTTCTTGATTTTTTAATGCTATAAAATACATAAATAAGTCCTTTACATCCTGATTCTCAGAAATGTCAGGGTATGATAGCATTTCCCTTAGGTCACTGTCTGATAACGCTCTGTAGTTCAGTGAAGATACTAGGTACAAGAGGTTTTTTGTTTTGTTTTCATATAGTAATTTTTCACTGTGTAAACAGTTTTCATACCACCATTTCATACATACAAAAAACACATCAAATTCACATCTGCACTGCAAATTTACATCAGACAAATATAAATGTAACTGCTTTAAATGCAATTCTATAAGACAATCCATGTCTTTTATTTCATTAAATTCAACTAATGATAAGTATTTTGCTTTTAAATGTAAATCTTCTATATCAAGTTTTTCAGTTCCAAACCAAACTTTAATGCAGTTAGAGGGGGCTAAAATTTCTCTAATACGAGTGACACATATTTCTTTTATGTTTGGAAATTGTAACATGCATGCTGCTTCAAGTACTAATAAAATGTCTTCTTCATTTATAACAAAACTGCTATCCCATAACAGCGTAAGAATGATTTTAAGAGACCTTGAGTCCACTTCCTGCAAAGGTTTAGTTAACAAAAGGATCTAGTTAGATTCGTCTATAATTTACCTGAAGTGTAATTAGTCGTTGGTTCTTTTCAACAAAATTTCCTTCAAACATAACTTTAAAGTAATCACTGTGTTTGGCAAGTTCTTTTTTATTACACACAAATGAGACATTTTCTGCAATAAGAACAATTTCTTCTGAAGTACTTTTTGAATCGCCCATTTTTATAGAATTCTTTATTTATTCATATNAAAACTTGTCCGCTGCCCACGTGAGCTTTTAGCCGATTCCAACTTACGTATAAACGCTTTATATTACATTACCCACGCCATTATCCCTCCTTTAAATAGGTGTTTAAATTTAATTGGAGCAGATGTTAATATTTGGTAAAAAGGAAATATTATTAGATAATTAAAATATTTGAACAATTTTTTGAACTTTTAGGTTTAAGGAAATGCCACGAAAGCAGGTTCTGTATCTTCCTACTTTTTTCAAGCAGGTTCCTAAGAAGAGCACAATCTCACAGTATTTTTTTACCACCACTTGTGTTAGTTGTGGTGCGCATGCTCAGAATGGACTGTGTGACAAGTGCTTGAGTTATCCGACTGAGACTATGGTTGTTTTGCAAGAGAAATTGAGAAATTGGGAAAAGAATTACCAAGAAACATTACTGGTAAGATTCGTTTTATAAATTTTATATTTATTAACAATCATTTTTTAATAATAATATTCGTTGAGTAACAAGTAAAGAATTGATCAATATAGTAGCTACTGTTGAAGGTGATTAATGTTTCCAAAAATTTCAAACGAAAATGTGTGGTGATCTTATGTACTGTTAGTGATTAGTGCTATGTAGTTTTTCAAAAATTGAATTTTAGATTTGCCAGTCATGCTGTAAAAGGTACGATGGTAACGAATGTATCTCCCTAGACTGTCCTATTCTTTATAGATTAAATCAAACACATAAAGACTTACAACAGGCTCCGTTTGTACGGCAACTTGTTTCAAAGTCATTTGATAACGATAGTTGTGATTTTTAGTATTCTTTAGAACGTAAAATAATATTGATTAAGTTCGTTTTTATTTTCTTGTTAATTTCTCTTATAAACTGTACTTATTTTATAATCATTAGTCGTTTCAGTTTTGAATATTTTTCTTATTTGATTCATTTTTAAGTACCCACAGGTCAACAATCTCGGTATTAATAAGAAAAAAAGAATGTTTTATATAAATTTTATGTTTATTTGCATATTTTCGCATTGCATTAAATAAGTATATTTTTTTAATTATTTTGGTGTTTATTGCTTTCCTTAAATAAAACAAGGGCAACCTGGAAATAGTTTATTTAAAAACGTAAACATAAATAAACTCATTTGCCAGCTGAGACAGTATAACATGTATGAATGTACAATTCCCACATCGGAAAGTTCTTACAATCCGCAAATAAGAGTAAATAACATATAATAAGGATTTATTTTCAATAATATACCTAAAAGGCTACAACAAATCACGATATGAAATATAAAATAAAATCGCGATTTGTACAATTTTGTTTTTATGCATATTATATTCATGGCTTTTGCTTATTATAAAGTACGTTCTAAATCAAAACATGACTACAACACAATAAGAAAA